ACGTACTACGTGACGTGATTTGATGAAACGGTCTCTTTGTTGTTACGGACCAGAGACTTCTGTTACGTTACAGACAGAAAACACAGTCGACCAGGGTTTAGTACATAAAGGGAATGAAAAAGGAAAAATCTGATCTACGCACTGCTCTTTCTAATTATTAGCATAAAGAATATTTTAATTACTAAGATAATTGGTTATTTTATATTCTTAACGGGTGGTTAACGTTCGGCGATAATTCAAATCCTTTTCGTATAACGTTTAAATAATTAATTTTTCTTCTTTTTTCTTCTTAATTTTTGCTTCGATATAATGAAAAAAGAAGCACTGTAAGATTCCCGGTATTAAAACGTTATAAAAATATAATTAACAGGTTCGAAAGATGCTCTTGAAAATTGCTAATGCTTTTCGTTTAAATATTTAAATTAAGCGAGTAAATTTTGAGGAAATATGATAGGAAAAAGTGTGTTAAAATTCGAAAATATAAAATCAATTTAATAAGAATTTTAATCGATTTTTTCAAAAATCAAGGAAATTTATATAATGTTAATTACGTTAAAAGCGCGCAACACCGTGGATTAAGAATTAAGGCTAACTTTAAACCCAAAAGTCAGTTAACCACTGTAAAGACTAAATTTCTATCTTATTCAAATACTACAAACTTTGCCAAAATTTAACTGGTTATTTTAAAACCCGGAAACATTCAGAAATACGATTCTTTAAACGAAAAAACCCAATCTCAGAGCTTAAAAAAATTAATAAATTTAAAAAAACTAACGAAAACTGTGTAAAGAATTTAATTATTTTTTCTTTTTTTATCAAGAAAAGTCGCAAGTTTCAATTTATTTGCAAAATATTGCGAAATCTTATGAAAAGATTAGCTTATATCATAACAATCACAGTCAGGAGACTAACATTTTCTATAGCTTGAGGCATGTTCACTTATACAGCTAGAAAACGAAAATTAAAGTTTCGTTTATGGAATAAGAAAATAAGAAAAAAAGTAAAATAAAATAAACCACAAGAAAACTGTTTAAAATTCCAACAAATATTTGCTGAACGGTTAGAGAAGCATATTGCTTGTCATTTGTCAAGTTTTATTATTACTTTTTTTTTATTTTCCTGTTGTTGAATTTTTAAGGAAGAAAAGAGTTTAGAAGAAATAAGATTTATGCTTTCGAGAAGAATCTCTACATTAAAATTTCGATGATTTTCTCCCCCTTTCTTATACAAAAACCGAACACGCATTTATTTAATGTAATTACACTTACGGAGAAGGGCTATTCTTTCGAGAAAATGGGGAAATTTGTTTAAATTTTCTTATTAAACAGATTTTTAAAGTTATAGGAACAATTAATAATCAAACTTTTATCGAGAGATTAGTCAGAAATCCGTTCTGTTGACTCTTAAAAGGTTGAGAGATCCGTTACTCAGTTAACTTCGTTAAAATGGTTATAAAAATTCAGTATCGACGCGCACGAAATCGAAATTTTGCATTTTTGTAAAAAGGCAATTCAGTTAATGTAATGGAAATTAATTTTCAAAATTTTAACCGTTAGAAATTGAGTTTTTTGTCGATATCGCTTTATTGTTTATAATCACATTATCCAACTAGTAAATCGCGAGCGCTTTGAAGGTCACGAATCTATTCTTAGACGATGCCACGGGCTTTCGAGAAGATTGCAAATTAAAAAACAAGTTGAGAAATAACTAATTAGGAATATTTAATGAAGAATCCAATAGAATTTTTTCGCCTAAATTGTTTAAATCATTAAATTCGTTTTTGTTCATGAACTTCACTGGAATAATCTGATGGATGGTAATTGATAGCGATGTTAACATTATTAGAACGATTGTACAATAAATAACGTTTAGAATGTTTATTCAATTACAAACAATACAGAATTGCTGTTGGCAGATAAGAGTTCGTTTGCATCACAATTGCATCATTAAGTGATACAATTTGAGTAGATAGTGATGCATAGAATTTACAATCAACGAACCCTCGGTAATCATGTGATAAGATTTCAAAAATCGAAAACTCAAAGCATGTTGTAATTCTTTTCCTTTGAATTTATTCATTTGTTTATTTTTACTATCGATTTTATTATAAATAAAATCACGCGTAAATTAATCAAAGTGCATTTACTAGAAAGAAAATTTATGAAGATTTATTTTAATTCTTGAAAATTACATAAATAATCAGAAATCTTCAGGAATAATTGTATATTTTAGTTGGAAAAACTGTTTTTTATTCAGGACTGTATAGATATCCTGAACGTTAACAATTATATTCCTGAACTACTGAAATAAACCATTGTTCAGAATTCTTGAACATTAATCTAATCCACGTTAAATCATAAAATATACATGTAATCATTATTATACATCTCAAAATTTAATAACTATCAGTTAATAATGTAATAAAAAGTTGCAAGCCCTGAACAAATTTTCAGGATTCTATAACACTTATGAGTATGGAATCTTAAAATCCTGAAGAGCTGTTTCATCCACGAGAGATTTTTTTGTTGTAAAGATTAAATCTATGTTAAATGTTACATAATAATTGGTGTGTATATAAATATATATAAGTTACTACTAAAGATTTCATAAGAATTTGTAATATAGAAACTCGAACGTCCTAAACAGGAATTTTAAGATTTTATACCTTCAAACAGGTTATGGAATCTTGAAATTCCTGTTCAAGACTTTCAAGTTTCTATATTATTATTAATTATTGTGAAATCTCAAGATGTAAATTGTATATATATATATATACACTAGCTATTATATACGATTTAACAAAGATATATTTTAAAATCCTTTATGGATGAGTAACTTTTCAGATTTGCATGTTAAAAACGCTTTTAAGTAAAAAAGAAAAAAAAATCAAAAATTTTCTTGAGTTAAGATTAAATTAGTCTCGAAAAAATTTACCAAATCAAAATCTCATTCTAAATTTAAAGAAATCTTCAAACAAATGAAGATTTGTTTGTAAGAGAGGATACGAATGATTACAAAATCATCATCATTAATGTATCATATATCAATGTGCTTCAAGTATAATTTAGAGGCAGTTTATTCTTCGAAATCTCATTAAAATCAAGCAAGTTTCAAGTATAAATTATTAGGATTAATTATCTTCGAACTAAATTAACACATGACTATTAAAGATACATCTTCTAGATCACTAATGAGCTGGATAACTGAGTAGTTGCATTCAATAATATCACCTAACTGTATCCATAAAAATGCAAATTATTTGGAATAATTAAAAATAATTATAGTAATATGTAATTAAATTTAAAGCTTCAAAAATTGATTCTCTGAAATTATGCCACTTAAAATAGTTTCTAAGATAACAACGACCTTACCGAAATTTTGGAAAAATCAATATTTAAATGGTAGAACTATATGATGTAACTTGAGAAAATAAATGCCAAAATTATGCTTAAAACTCAATTTTTTCCTGTAAATTGTCTTAGATCCTGTCTATAAAGTGTAAAACAACAAAACTTTAAAATAAAAATTATTTAGTTCTCAGTTCTAACAAGAGATGGCACCAAACACTTAAGATAAACAGGTGAGTACTTTGTGGATGTTGTCTGCAAATTAGCATTTTTTCATTTTTAAAAATACAAAATAACTTTAAAAAAAATCTAACTTACACAGAGCAAATCCATTATTTAATTCGATACTTTTTATAAATCCTATAAATATTGTAAACCCAAAAGTCAGTTAACCACTGTAAAGACTAAATTTCTATCTTATTCAAATACTACAAACTTTGCCAAAATTTAACTGGCGAATACGGTTAGCTAACTTTCGGGCCACCATTGTAAAACTTTCGCAGTTTTCAACATACAAAACACGATTTTTTAGAGAAAGAATAAAAGCTATGACTTTCACAAACAGAAATCCAAAAAAATTGAAAAATTTTTTGTAAATTTTAAAAGAAAAATTAGAAGGCATAATATTAATTATCTCCTTTATGATAATCGATAACTTAATATGTTCACTAATTACCATTTAATACGATATAAAATCAAAGGAGGAGGAAAATCAATAGAGAAGCCATAGGATTCCAAAAATCCAAGAGAGTTTAAGATAACGGTAAGCTACAACAGAGCTAATTGTCGTTAATGAAGAGAAGAGAATCTTTTTGAAGAGAACGAATGAGACAAAGGGTGTAATTAACTGTAGTTTGGGTCGTCTAATTGCAGTCATTAGAAGCGATTCATTTGCACCTGTCTTGTATGTTACAAAGGATAACAAGATAAATTAGGATTAAACCTTTTGCTGAAAATAATACACACACATCCCTTCCTCTATTGGAAATGCTCCTATTCTTAGAAAAATTATTTGTTTAGTGTCTACGCTCGCATTAGTTATAATTGTGTTTTTGGAAGGAAATGGAGTTTTTTATGTATCCTTTCTGATATTTTTAGAAAGTTTTGTAGCCGTCCTAATTGAGTTGTTGTTATTTTTTTGGAGATAAAATAAACTAACGTTATAGAATTATGTTTTATTTTAATTCTAAAACAATTCAATCATCATGAATATCTCGCAAGAATAAAATTATTGCGAATGGATGCTTTAACCAATACGCTATTTTAAGAATCCTGCTAAGAATTTATTATAATGCTTGTTTTTAGAATTTATTATGCTAAAATTTATTAGTTACTGTAGTTCTGCCAAACAAGACTAAGAAAAGAATTAACAGGATAATGCAAACTATCGATTTGGATCTATGAATCCGTTCGAGATTAAGATTTTTACTTAAAAAACTAACGATTCATTCAAAAGAAATTATCAGCAATGGAACTGATAAATAAACGAGATAAAACGAGTTTCTTATAATCTAAAAATGAGCTTTCATTGTTTATAAACTCATTCGAATTGGAACTTTATCGTGGTGGTACACAATAAAGCTCCAGTTCAAAGGAGGATTTAAATTGAGCCTTATCCCAATAAAATAATTATAATTAAAGAAACAAACTTACCGAATATAATCTGTCTTGCACAGGATCATTCCCGCTTTTGTAAAACATGAACTTCCAATGTCCGCCAGTGTCGCCTGGCAACATGTGCATTTCAAGCAACCATTGTGCCAATACCGATCGAGTGCATGAAGAAGAAATCTGTCCATGATTTTTCCACCACATCCTGCGCAACAACGACCTCCTGTATTACTCGACGGAGGAAGATTCTGTTGCTGATGTGGTATCTGATGAGTTACCATATTACCACTCATGTTTCCACTCGGATGGTGTGATACCATCCCGATCATCCCGACCGAAGGGTCACCATGGCCCAAGGGCGGTTGGCCGCTGTGATTCATGTCTGGTTTATGTAAAAGTTCAAAATCAAAATGAACAGAAGGCTAACAGAGGCACCGATCCTGAGCGATGATCATTGCAATGTGATGATCAGATTACCTGAAAAAGAGCAGGAGAAAAAAAACTAATTTATTTCAAAGAATAGTTAATTTATAGAAAAAATAATAATAAACTTTATAAATTATCATATTTTAATAGATTTTTCCTCTTCTTTTTCATTTATATAAACAAATTTATGCAGTTTCTGATGAGTTTTGCGTAACTTTTTACGCATCAGCACTCGTGAATAGTGGATGCGAGTCAATAATAATTGAGTAGAAAAATATAAAAATATGTTCTTTAAACAAATATTTTCTTTATAAACTTCTCAAGTATTGAAGTATCTTTTATTAATTATTTATAAAATCTATTTTAAAGTCATTTACTTTAATTAAAACTGCATTAATTATTAAAATACAAAATTCTCACTTACATAAATTTATCCTCAAGAAACATTCGAACTAATTAAAAATTGTTTCGGTAACAAATTTCTAATTAATAATTTTAAATAATAATAATTTTTAACAAACAACATTAAGTAGTTTCAAATATGATTGATTTCATTCTTTTTTCATAAAAATAATAAAAACAAATTTCTACAAATTATAATTAAATTTCTTGAATGTTTCCTGAGCTTTAATTAAATTTTTAACCTTTAAATCTAGAGATCAGACAAGCAGACAGACTACAGGTTAGATAAGTTATATGAATAATGTGAATAAGAAAAATTTATGTTCCATTACCTGTAATTATGCACTTCATTTGTCTGAAGTACAAATGATGTACATAATACAACTCTGCAGAAAGTACTGTACATTTCGATAAGTTAATACACAGTTTATTATAAAATACAATTAAATTACTAAAATTACAAATAAACTATACTTCCTGACATTGAAAACAAAGCACTATCGTGCTCGATTTAGCATCTTATATGCTAATTTCAGACAATTTTTTATAAATTATAAAAAACACGTTTTAAATTTATGATAATATCTAAAATCCGCACGTGAAATAATTTAAGCAATATAATTTAATAGAAACGTGGTTAACTAGCCCAAAAGCCAATTTACTACGTTTTTGCTAGCAATTCAGCAGGTTACAAGTGTATACCAAAGTGTCGGAATTTGTACATTGAACAAGAAATATCTCAAGTAATGAAGTAATTAAATAAGAACAATTTACTCATTACAATGGTTAACTAACTTTTGAGCCACTCCATGTACATAAATACACAAAGACTTGTATAAATATAGAAAACTTGTCACTCATGAAAATAAGGAAGATACTTTTAAATTTAATTAAAATCTGATGGGATGACCCGAGGATTTCTTAAGCCACAATTAAGTTTGTAGCTAAAGTTAGAGATAAGACACACAAACAGGCTGCAGGACAAATGCACGAGAAAAGCGCAATAACAGAAAACTCGTTATAAGACTTATATTAATGCAAAATACGGGAAATTTTTCCCTTATAATCAACAAAAAACATACATTATAAATCGTTTCCTGCATTTTTTTAAATATTTAATTATTATTATTATTATTAATCATTTCATGCTAATAATCATAATAATGGTACTTTATGCTTCAAGTAGTATCTTAATACAAAAATTTCATTTAATAGTCTCATTTAAATATAATAATAATAATAATAATAATTTTTCTTATTATATTTTCTATAGACGAACGTTCTCATAAATATACAGTGGACTCCCGATATAATAAGTACCTCGACGTACCAAACTTTCCATGTTAGTTTGTTCGTTCTCACTATTCTTTTGAACAGTGGGCTCTCGACATAGTAAACTCTCAATGAACTGAGTTAAATCATTCACTATATCAAGAGAGTTCATTACATACATAAATAGAAGAGAACATGAAATTGCTTACTACATCGGAAGTTCCCTATATCGTGTGTCCACTGTAATTTCCTTTTAACATTTTTATTTATTTTAAAAATCAATTTGATTTAATAAACTTGTTAAGCGTAAACTTTTTGGCTTTATAATTGTAAAATATTAAAATTTTTTTAAACTCCTGATAAATTGGAAAAAAACTCAAAAACTTATTCTGAAATATATTTAATGATGCTTAATCTTATTTTAATTAATATTTAAATACACTTTTTCCATTATTTGTATATAATTTAGAGAGAAAAACTAATTTTTTAGAAAACAAAATAGTAGTCGAAAAAAAATACAATTTCCAAATTCTTACAAATATTTAATGATTAATTTCCTTCCGTTTGATAAAATAAATAAATAAATAAATTTTTTCTACATTTTAGAAGAGACGAAGAGGAGAATAAGGAAAAGTACTGTATTTAGGATAATTTAAGAAATATCCAACAAATGTTTTAACTCATCTTCCTCATCTTCATCCTCCTTAAAATATAGAAAACTTAAGTAAATAGAGGATGGTGATAATGAAGAGAAAAATAGAAAGAGTGAAAAAAATATCCAATATTTTCCTCTCTCTCGCGCCATTCTCTTCATCTTCCTCATCCTTAAAGTGTTTTCTCTATTTTAAGGAAGATGAAGAAGAGAAAAAAAAGTGTTGAATATTTCAAAAATTACATTAAATATTCTTACTTATCCTCCTCTTCTGAAATAAATAAATACATTTTTCTATATTTTGTCAAATAAAGCAAATTAATAATTAAATATTTGTAAGAATTTATTAATACAAAATATTTTATTTACTTTTGAATCTTCTTACAAAATCTAATTATTTTAATTAATAATTCATTTCTTTAGTTTAATTTCCAATGAAAGAAAATTTTAAGAGAATAAAGGGAAAACATTTGTAAATTCTTGCATATATTTAATTATTGATTTCATTTCATTTGATAAAATATAGAAAAATTATTTTAAAGTAGGAAGATGAAGAGGCGGTGGAGGAGGATAAATGTAAAGCGAAAGAGGAAAGAAAAATTTTATTTTAAAAATTATACTAAAGAAAATAATAATTATAATTAGATTTTGTAAAATAATTAAAAAATAAAATAAATATTTGCAAGAATTTACAAACTTTTATTAATAACTTTCTTTTGTTCGATAAAACACAAAAATTAATTTATTTTAAAAGGATGAAGAGAAAGGTAAAAATAATAATAATTTCTGAAATAGCCAAAAAAGTTTCTTTTCCTTCTCTTTCTTATTCATCCTCACTCTCCTCTTCAAAATAAAAAAATAAAAAAAACCACTTAAGTAGGATGACGATGAAGAGGAGGATGTGGGGAAAGACGAAAATTTTATTGCTTATTTCGTAACTAATTGCTAATTATTATAATTAATTTCTTAAAGTAATTAAAAACTACAAGTAAAAAAGTAAATTCTCACAAACATTTAATTATTAATTATCTTTTATTTCATAAAATACAGAAAAATTATTTTCAAGTAGGAAGATAAAGAGTAGAAGATGGAAAGGAAAGAAGAGAATTGAAGTTAAAGAGAATTTTGTTGGATATTCCGGAAATTATACCAAAGAAAATATTAATAATAATTGTAATTAGATTTTGTAAAAAGTAATAAAAGACAGAATAATATAATAATAAAGAAAAAAAGAATTAAAATATATTTTAATTCGACTTTGTATCTTGGCCATTTTCTTTATTGGACAATGAAATAATCATTCTTTATTTAAGAAACGGGGGCAGAAAAAAAGAGGAAAAATNAATAGTAGTCGAAAAAAAATACAATTTCCAAATTCTTACAAATATTTAATGATTAATTTCCTTCCGTTTGATAAAATAAATAAATAAATAAATTTTTTCTACATTTTAGAAGAGACGAAGAGGAGAATAAGGAAAAGTACTGTATTTAGGATAATTTAAGAAATATCCAACAAATGTTTTAACTCATCTTCCTCATCTTCATCCTCCTTAAAATATAGAAAACTTAAGTAAATAGAGGATGGTGATAATGAAAAGAAAAATAGAAAGAGTGAAAAAAATATCCAATATTTTCCTCTCTCTCGCGCCATTCTCTTCATCTTCCTCATCCTTAAAGTGTTTTCTCTATTTTAAGGAAGATGAAGAAGAGAAAAAAAAGTGTTGAATATTTCAAAAATTACATTAAATATTCTTACTTATCCTCCTCTTCTGAAATAAATAAATACATTTTTCTATATTTTGTCAAATAAAGCAAATTAATAATTAAATATTTGTAAGAATTTATTAATACAAAATATTTTATTTACTTTTGAATCTTCTTACAAAATCTAATTATTTTAATTAATAATTCATTTCTTTAGTTTAATTTCCAATGAAAGAAAATTTTAAGAGAATAAAGGGAAAACATTTGTAAATTCTTGCATATATTTAATTATTGATTTCATTTCATTTGATAAAATATAGAAAAATTATTTTAAAGTAGGAAGATGAAGAGGCGGTGGAGGAGGATAAATGTAAAGCGAAAGAGGAAAGAAAAATTTTATTTTAAAAATTATACTAAAGAAAATAATAATTATAATTAGATTTTGTAAAATAATTAAAAAATAAAATAAATATTTGCAAGAATTTACAAACTTTTATTAATAACTTTCTTTTGTTCGATAAAACACAAAAATTAATTTATTTTAAAAGGATGAAGAGAAAGGTAAAAATAATAATAATTTCTGAAATAGCCAAAAAAGTTTCTTTTCCTTCTCTTTCTTATTCATCCTCACTCTCCTCTTCAAAATAAAAAAATAAAAAAAACCACTTAAGTAGGATGACGATGAAGAGGAGGATGTGGGGAAAGACGAAAATTTTATTGCTTATTTCGTAACTAATTGCTAATTATTATAATTAATTTCTTAAAGTAATTAAAAACTACAAGTAAAAAAGTAAATTCTCACAAACATTTAATTATTAATTATCTTTTATTTCATAAAATACAGAAAAATTATTTTCAAGTAGGAAGATAAAGAGTAGAAGATGGAAAGGAAAGAAGAGAATTGAAGTTAAAGAGAATTTTGTTGGATATTCCGGAAATTATACCAAAGAAAATATTAATAATAATTGTAATTAGATTTTGTAAAAAGTAATAAAAGACAGAATAATATAATAATAAAG